TTAAAAAAAAAAAAAAAAAATGCTCTATTATTTGTGGTAAATTTATAAATAACTATATGCTAATATATATATGTTTTATTCAGTTCTTTTTTCCTCATTTTATATGAAATAATAATTATTTAATGTTTATCATTAAAAAAAAAACCTCTTACCCGATTATAGCCACTATGTATGTGGCTTTAAAAACAAAACCTCCGGGATCGTAACTTCTGGGTATTTGAGATATTCGGTTAAAGGTGCAACAATATTTATAATATAACCCCATTTTAGAAATTTAAATGACTTTTTATTTAATAAGGAAACTAAAATGAGAAAACTTCATGGAACAAATTCCGTGGGTACCTACCTAAAGTGACACAATCTTGACGCAGTGAGCAGTGAGATAAAAAAACACTAAATAATTTCGTTCTTTGAAAAGAATTTGTTTTGAAACATAATAAAAAAGATAATGATAGAATAAGCCCACAATAAAATGTCAATCATACATCATCAAAAACTTTTTTAAGCCGTATTAAAATCCAATATTCATTATAATGATATCACATCATGATTGTATTGTACGATTTTTAAGGATTTTAAGCCCCAACGTATCATCCGTAATAATACGTATTCTTATACTATGTATCAAAATAACAAGGTTTCTTTTTTTTCCGCGTTATAGATTTAATTAAATATTATCACAATCACTGATGTTGTTTGTTTCAAAAAAAGAAAAAGAAACTCCTTTCGTTTAATTATGTCATTTGATTCATTTTGATTTACATTTTACACATTTTACCCCGTAACAATTTACTCCTTTTTTTTTTTTTTTGTTCATACCAAAAAAGAAATAACCCGTTTCTAATTAATGGTACATGTGTGATTTTCTTTATACGTATGTCTTTTAACGGATAAAAAAACTTTTTTGTACTATAAAAGGGAAATATTATTGGAAATATTGGATGTTACAACAAAGGAAATATTGAAATTATTACTATGGGAGAAAATTCTTACGGAAGCAAGGAAACTGTAGTAAGTATTAATGTAGGAAGCATTACTGTAAGAAGTACTACTGTAGGATGTATTACTGTAAGGGAATACTGTAGGGGAAATAAGGTTGTAAGGGAAATAATGTACTGGAAGTAATACCGGAAGTAATACTGGAAGTAATACTGGAAATATTAACATTACTGTAGGAGAAATTCTGTTACATACTACTTACTGTAAGGGAAGGTAAAGGAAATATACGTATGGCCGAAAACTTTAACCCACGTATTAATACGTATTAATACGTATTAATTACTACTCCGACGTAAACCTGTTATTGCTACGCTACTATGATACTAAATTCCAAAAGCCACATAGTAATATTTGCTTATTATTTTGATCGATTTTTCTTAATACTACAATCATATTTTAAGAGTAAAACAATCAATTTTACGTCACAAAGAATGATGCATAGGTGCATAATGTTTCCGATCGCTATACATTAAAATAACGCCGTAAATTCCGTTTTCTTTAAACAATTTGGTTATATTTTTCTCACGATTAAATATTAACAAAAAAAAAAAAACAATCAACAAAATTTCCTTTATTTTTTGGAAACAATTTCTTAATAACAAAGAGATTTGGAAAAACTTATTTCCTTAAAAAGATTTCTTAAACATATGGCGTAGTAAATAATTTTTACTTGTTTCCCTTTTATGAAAAGCAAAATGATCATCAATAGAAAAAATGGAAGCCTACGTAATAGAATATCTTAATTGTAATGCAAAAATAAAAAACTTATATGTGCGAAATGTTTATATTGTAATTAAACACCAGGAAATTTCTTTATAAAATTATCTCATAATTGGTTTACCAATTTAATATAAAGTTACGTGATTTCAAAACGAGGGATATTTGGGATAATTCCTTGGGATATTTGAATGTAATCTGTAAAAATTCTTTGTAAAGTAAATTTTACATAAACACATAAACAAATCATCAAATTATCAAAACTTTTTGTTGAAAAATGTTGAAAATGTTGAAAATGCATGTAAAAAAAAATTTAATGGCAATCGATAAAAAAGTTAATATAATACACGTTATTAATCATGTTTAATTAATTAAATACCTTAAATTACTAAATATAAGAAGCATATTTTTAGAAAAACAATACCTGAAATCTGAAAAACCTAAATATAAAGTTTTTTTTTTTTTTTGATTTTTTTTTTCAAAACCAGGGTTTGTACTTTTTTCCTTTAATGAAAGAGAACAAATATGGGTGTAACCGATTTTTGCTTATGTTTATATATACTTTAATGGAAATTTTCATTATAATTTGGTTACACGGGATTCCATTTTCATTAGTGAAAATTTTTTTGTCATTTAATTATGATTTCTTAATTCAATAATAATACTAATATTCTTTTTGGGAAGAAAGTATTTTTCGTTGTTTCATTATTAATTAGAACAATGTAAAATATGTAAAATTTCAAATTAAATAATAATTTAAGGTTCAAAATTATCTAAATAATGGAAATTGGAAACTAAAATTAGGTCATATAAAATTAGGTCATAAAAAAAAAGTTATTTTTAAATTTTTTTTTTTTTTCTTTAAACTGGTAAATTTTGTTTTTAAATGTGAAATATTGTGAATGGATACGTTGAACTATAATTTAATTTGAAGTACATTTTTTTTCCCGCACATTTGACATATTTAGAACATATTTAGAACATATTGTGAGCACACATTTGGTCCACATTTGGTATATATTTGGTTCGCCTATTGTAAAATAACAAATAAAGATCATAATTAAGTAAAAAAAAAAAAAATTTAAAAATAACTTTTTTTTTCTTTTTCTTTTAGTCGGGACCGAATTAGTCGGAAAAGTCGGGTGTCCGATTTAATTAATTTTTAATGCAAATCATTTCATTTCTGTAATTTAATTGGTGTTCTTATTTATGAATCGAATATCATTGGTTCATTAATGATTAATTTTGGTTCAACTTATTGTCGATTGTGATTTACGTAAAAAGTTAAACCATTGTTAATTTTTTTTTCACTCGGAATCACTATTTTTGTCTTTTTATCATGCTTTTTAACCATGCTTTCTATTATAATTGAAAAAAAAGGAAATAAAATAAAGAATGTTCTTTAAAAAAATTTATAATTAAATTTTTATGATTTATTTTTAGATTTTTTAATAATTTCTATTTTTAATAAAATTTTCCTTTTATTATAATTATCGCGTGATTGAGGAGACTGCGTGGATGCGATGCGTGAGTTTTAAATGCGTGATTACTCCTCAATAAACAACTCCTTGGTTATTAAAAATCATAATGAATTCATAGAATTCATTCGTTTTTTATTTTCATGAATCGGAGATGGAACTCCGAAAAAAATAATCAACAAAACTGTGTTAAAGCATATGTGTTTGTATCGTAGTATGAAAAAAAAGATTTTCACGCGCATTTTTTATAATAATTTAATTTAATTTGTTTATTTTTATACGTTTTATACGTCTTACATTTTTATTTATTATAAATTATTAATTTTTATTTTTATTTTCATTTTATTTCATTTTATTTCTTTTTAAATAAATAACAACAATAATAACAATAATAATAACACTGTAAAACTTTATTTAATTATGTATATAATTATGTATGATTACATGTGTATTTATCTTTTAAGAGATTTAGATTTTTTTATCACTAAATTTTTTTACCACTGATTTTTGCTCTTATTGTTTACAGAATTACAAAAACTGTAATTCATATTTCATATTGAAACACAAATATTGTTAAATGTGACCAGTATTTGATCGCGTTATGTTGCATCTTTATTACATCATCAAAAAAAAAATATATAATTTTTAATTGAGGACAGAACGCGATACAAGTAAACGTAGTAACATCACATAAAACTTTAATCACTTACGCCAGCCAAAAAGTGTCACCTTATTTTTTGTAACCCCTCCTTAAAATAGTAAGAATAAATAATAAATTGTGCTGTGTTACATTTGTATTGTAAATAAAATTTGTTTTGTCAATTTATAATAGTAAATAGAAAGCGGAATACCTTTAGGAAAGAAAAAAAATTATCAAGAGTTTATGAAAATTTATTTAAAAAAAAAAAATTATTTTTTGTTCACTTCTTCGAAATCACATCATTTGATATATATAAGTTTTGATTTGAACCACATTTTTATTTGTTTGAAACTTTCTTGAATCACTGTACAGTATACATGTACTGTATATTAAATTGGTCTTTATTAATTTTCCAAATACAATTATCATTTCAAGTCATTTTAATCATTCCTTTTCCCAATGAAATTATAAATTACACAAAAATCTATTTGTCACCCTTATTATTTATTACGAAACGAAAACATTTGGATATTTTGATTTCGAATAAAAGTGATAATTTTAAAAAGGTGATACTGTCACAGTATATGAGATGTACAAGTAGGTTTGAATTTTTTGATGGTGGTACAAACAATAAATCATGTAATCAATCATAACATTTCGGAGTTTATTTTCCGTCAGGTGTCTTGTACATCGTTGCTTTTAAATGATTTTTAGTTCTATTAAGTTAAAATTTGTTTATATTGTTTTACTTATGATTTTAAATTAGGCGGAATCTTCCTTTAAGGATCAACTTTGAACAAAAAAATATTAGCCAAATTGGACCCAAATTTAGCCAAAATTAGCCCATCTAAAGATGATTCTTGTATCAAGAATATTTTAGAATTTTCGTTTTAATAATAATAATAATAATACATGTAATTGTATGTAGAACGCGTTACTAATTCTAGTCAAAATCACCTTTTTTTATTATTTTATTTTTAAAATGTTTCGGAATTATAATAAATAAATGAATCAAAAATAGGTTTTTCCTTTGTGGGGGGGAATTCTTTTTTTTTTTTTACTTAAAAAAAAGAAGTTTGATTTTCGTCTTTTTTTTTTTCTTCTTTTTTTCTTTCATTAGTTAGGAATTATAATTCCACGAATGAAATATATCATGTTATATGTATGAAAACGTATGAGGATGATGTAAATGTATATAAATGCAATATGATGATTCATATCATATTCGTATTATCATTCACTGCTATCATTTATATCATTCACCGCTATCATTTATATCGTTTCATTCATATCACTTATATGAGTTATAACATCATTCACTACTATCATTTATATCTTTTCATTTTATAAAAAAAGTTGTAACCTTTTTTACTTTTTGTCTAACATGAATTATAATCACTTTCCAAAAATTATTTTGTTGTTTGTTAATAAAAGATAAAGGAGGAAATGTGGCTAATTTTCGTTCAATAATAAACAAAAATTTTAAATTATTTTGTAGTAACAAAAAAAGATCAATTACAGATATTATTTAATCAATCGATTATTTGTTTAACCTACTTTTTTATAACATTATTGAAAATTTAAACAGTTGTGGCTAGTTTTGGCTAGTTTTCCGATTTCAGAATTTTATGTACTAAATATTTGTGTACGTGATTGGATCACGGGAATACATTTTATAATTCAATGAACTTTACGATAAACCTTTTATTTTAGATGATTTTTTTTTTTTTTTAAATAAAGACAATCGATAAAATTTATTGATTATTATAATTTACGCAAATATAGATTTCATTCAAATCACAAGAACAATATCTGTAGGTCAAATATCTGTACTATTATTATTAAAATGAATTTTTTTTTTTTTGAAAAAAAAATGTTACAATTGATTAATCAAAGAAGGAATTAATTATACTCAATCCGAATTAGATGAATCTTAATTTTTTTTTTTTTTTAAGGGATTGACAAAAAATTTTGAACATCATAATAAAATACATATGTATATATATGTGTATATGTATATACATTCGGGATAATGATTTTCGCGTAATCTTATAATGATCATTATGAATTTTATAATGACTTTTCTTTTTTTATCTTTTATACGCATGTACATATAAAGTATAATGTAAAAATATAGATCTTACCAATAATGTTTTGATTTACCTAAAATTTTTTTTTTTTTTTTTTTTTTAGGTTTTTATTGATTTAAACACACATGAAAATATCTTGAGAAAGATTAGATGATAGGTACGTGATAAATGTACTCAATAAATAGTAATTTCATCTGGTATTGTTAATAAATAGTAATTCCATGGTATTGTAATAAATAGTAATTTCGTTTGGTGTTGTAATAAATAGTAATTTCGTTTGGTGTAATAATACTATAATAGTAATAATAGAACAAGCCCTGGTAAATGACCTCCCCGGTTTAATTGGTTTAAATTTTTATTAAAAAAATGTAATATACAGATAATATATTTCTTGTCATATATTTTATTGGTTTATTTTAATTCAAAATTTAAAAAATTTTCGTATTATTATATCCATTTAGCGTTATGTTGTATATGTTGTATTCATTATCCACGGATATTCTTATCCACGGATATTTATAAGGTCCGGTTAAACTTTAGACGATAATTTATGTAAAAGAAAAATGAATTAAATTTTTTGAATCAAAATGTAATTTAAATGTACTCCCCGATCTTTAATTTCGGGAACTAATTCAATTTGTTATCTCCATCATGTAAAGCGTATCATCCTTTTTTCATTCTATAATCATTTAATTCAAGTTCTTTATCTATATAATTATTATAATTATTCTTCGACAATGTCATCATTCCGTTTATTTAAAATGGGATTCTGTTTATTGAAATAGGATTCTGCATATTGAAATAGGATTCTGTTTATTAAAATAGGATTCTGTTCATTAAAATAGGATTCTGTTCATTAAAACGGGATTCTGTTTATTAAAATAGGATCCTACTTATTAAAAACGGGATTCTGTTTATTAAAATAGGATCCTGCTTATTAAAACGGGATTCTGTTTATTAAAGTTGGATTCTGCTTATCTACTTATTAAAACGGGATTCTGTTTATTAAAATGAGATTCTCTTTATTAAAAGTGGGATCCCGTGGGATCCTGTTGATTAAACGGGATTCTATTTATTAAATGGGCTAAATAAGGGTTATTTCATTAAAAATTACCAAAATACTTTAAGGTTATTCCGCTCAGCCTCTTTTCAATGGCTCAACACTCAATAAAATTTCTATTATACGGAAAATCCGTGGAAAGAATTTGAAACAATCAATTCGTGCAAACTGAGACAACGTCAACAATATTAGCGTTCCAATCATTCCGAATTTCCGATAGGTTCAGATATTCAAATACAATATCAATCACGTTCCTTTTTCTTCTCATAATTATAATTGGTTTCCACTCTTTTTTTCTCACCCACGTCATAGTTGACATGATCGATGTTCATTGTGTTATACCAACCAATGAGCGAGCTTTGTATTGTTCCTTCTTTATCGTTATTGTATTAGCATTATAATATTTATAATATATATAATATGTATAATATGAGTAATATGAGTATTACTAATCATGTTTCAATACAATTCAAATACAATTCGAATACAATTCGAATATAATTCGAATATAATTTGAATATAATTCATTTTTCACTAGTTTAAATATAATCTACTCTTAATTTACTTTTAATTTACTTTTCTAATAACGAATTAATAAAGAATTTTTAAACACGGAATTATTTACGCGAATCAGAAAATTCTTTTATTACGTTACGTTACGCAGTAAATGCGGGTGATCGACAAAACGGTAAAAATAAATTTAATCAAAAAAAGGTAAAGTTGATGAACAAATCATTTGTAATCCGATATGTCCGATATGTAAAAGAATAACCTTCCGACATATTAAACACACCCGCCCTCCCCTTCCGCCAAAAATAAAGATCACAATAAACAAATAAAAAAAAAAAAAAAAAAAAA